GAGCATGGGGCTGGAGACCAAGATGGATGCAAGGTTCAGACTGGACTCAGTTCTGCATTCCTCCCATCTGAACCCCAGCACCCACTGTGCCTCAAGAGCAGGGGTCAGAGGGGCAAATAAAACAAACCCATAATGGAGTAAGAGGGCCTCTCCCCTCCTCCTCCCAAGTAGAAAAGCTTTTGTAGCTCCCTTTTGTCGCCTTTGACATTTTGGAGAATTATAGGGTATTGTAGCAGAATGGGTGGTTAGCTCTGCCCTGTCACTGTTGAGTATGATTACTACTATCCCTGCTGGCAGGGCTCAAACTCAGATGCATAGATTCCCCTCCTCCCATTCAAGACATACTGCAAGAGTTGGGTCCTTGAATCCGTGAGAGGTGATAATCTATGAATCTAGTTTAAAATCCACTCTACCACCTCATCAGCACAAGCACACACATCCACACCTAGCACGTGCATAGTTCTAGAGAGAAGGAAACTAAGTCCCCGGGAGTTGAGTGACATCCAGTGGGGTATAGTGCTAAGACTAGAATTTACATCTTTGCTCGTTCCATCTCTACCTTCCACCAAAGAGGTCTGCTGGGCTGATGCCAGGTAGCACAAAGCCTTAGAAGGTACCTAATGGGCACCTTCTGTGGGACACAGGACCGGAACACCAGGTAACTTGTTTCATGGAGAGGGACTGTCCTCTGTGTTCATGACAGACCTTTCTTCATCTTTGGAAAGAGGATGTTGGGTGCTTCAAAAGGGCTAGATTTCCAGCTGAGTCATAGAGTTGATAAGGCTGACTGATAAAATATTTAGGTAAGATGGAGATGAAAAGCATATCAAAGAAAATTAAAAGTATGTCAAATTAAGAGAGGCTTACTCTAAGTCTCTCTCTGTCCAGGGAAGATCAATCTAGGTCATCTAGGATTATTTTATAGGGTAAATAAATTTGTTTTCATCTGCAGTTGTTTCCTAGTGGGTAAAAAGGAAATATCAGAGATGAAATATCAACCTTTATTGTTTTGTTAATTTGTAAAATTGCTATCCAGTGAGGTGTGAGGTGTGTGTGTGTGTGTGTGTGTATGTGTGTGTATGTGTGTGTGTATATACCAATATGTGCCAGTACTGGGGCTTGATCTCAGGGCCTTACCCTTTCTTGTTTAAAGCTGGCTCTGTATCACTTGAGCCACAGCTTCACTAACAGTTTTTTGGTGGTTAGTTGGAGATGAATTTAAGGACTTTTCTGCCTGGACTGGATTCAAACCTCAGTTCTTACTTAGCCTCCTGAGTAGCTCGGATTACAGGCATGAACCACCAGCCTGGCATTTAATCCTGTCTACATCCTCATGAGTGAGCATCAGCCTCCTGTCTTGCAGTTGTTAAAACTCTTGAATCAAGTGCTAGCAACTAATATATAATCCTAGCCACTAGAAAGGTTGAATCAGGAGGATTAAGGTTCAAGGTCATCCTAAGCCTAAAAGTCCTCAAAATTACATCTCCACAGAGGGAAGCTGGACAAGATGACATGAGACTATTATCCCAGCAACTGTGGGATATGCTTGTATGAGAAGCAAGACAATATCTAAAAAATAATCATCAAAAAATAAAACAAACATATCTGGAGATGTGGTTCAAGTGGTAAACTGCCAGCCTTATTAAGCTCAAGGCCCTGAGTTCAAGCCCAGAACAAAACAAACCCTCTCCATGCAACTGGGTAGTGAGGCTCCAATGCCTCTTTCCTAGGACCAAGCAATGTGGGAAAGTCCAACTAATTTGACATAAGAGGATTGTATTTAATGGTCTCCCTATAGCTGACTGGAATCTCAGAATGTGGGTTGAAAACAAACTTTCCTGGAATGTTGTGACCCTCGAATAAGAAGTACTTTCTAAACTCATAAAGCTTGATTAAACCATTAGAGAGAATGGGCAAAATGGTATCGTTCCATTCTCTTGAAAGAACTAAAGTACGGGGCTGGGAAGGTGGCTCAGTGGTAGAGCACTTGCCTTGCATGCTCGAGGCCCTGGGTTCGATTCCTCAGCACCACATAAGGAAAAAGCCGGTAGTAGCACTGTGGTTCAAGTGGTAGAGTGCTAGCCTTGAGCTGAAGAGCTGAGGGACAGTGCCCAGGCCCAGAGTTCAGGCCCCATGACTGGACCCCCCCCCCCCCACCCCGCAAAAAAAAGAAAGAACTAAAGTACATTTTTTATAATCTTTGAGTATTTTACTAAAGTGCTTGCAGGATCTAAGAAAACCTCTCCTTTTGAGGATAACTTTGTTCCTTTCTCCGGTTTCTGGCCACCAGGACCAGAATGCTTGTTTCTGGCTGGTATGATGATGAGCTGGTACTGACCCAAAACCTGTACCAGCACTGGCAGTTGCTCTTTTCTGCTGAGTCCCGGAACCCACAGCTTCTAAAGAGACCCAGACGGAGCCCTTTGGCTGGGCTGAATCTCCGTGTCTGGTGGTACTGGATGAGCACTTTCTAAGCCCTGGTCCTCCTCGGTGCTTATCTGTGCTTAAGTCCCCAAGTAGGTGGGCGGGCACAGTTGATCCTTGCTCGTGTGGAGATTCTTTTCTGCAGAGGGGACTGTCATCATCATGTACTTGATAACAACTGTGGGATTCTTTCAGGACTGCCTGTCATTAGGGCTAAATTGTTTCATAACATGATAATTGCTGTATTATCCAAAGTAGAGGGAGCCTGGGGAAGGTGAGCAGAGCTTGAGATAGTTTATTATTGGTTATCCAGGGATGTTCATGAAAACATTCATTAGTGCTTCTCAGGAGAGAGAGAACTATGCCAGCAGCCAAGCCAGTCCTAGGCAGCTTTGCTTCGCTTCCAGATAGAGCAGAATTCCAGAAGGCTGACAGAACGGGCCAGTGTTTGTAACCCAGGCGGCAGGATTGTGGTTTGGAACTGGAGGGACTGTGAGTTCAGTCCTTGCCTTTGCATTTTACTCTCTGTTCTTTTTCCTTTTGTGGTTTTAATTTGGGTCTTCAGAGGCACTCCATTGAACACTGCAAAGCATCCTGTTGGACAGGCTCTGAAGAGATGCTTGGGAATGTGACACTGACTTCCGACTCTGGTGTAATTAGGAAATCTGCTGCTAACCTCAGTCTTGCTGTGGCTCCTTTCCTTGCTTGGTTAGCAGCTTTACTTGGGAGTTGGTTAGACATGAAAGCTCTTGGGCTCTGCCTAGCAGCTTTACTTGGGAGTTGGTTAGACATGAAGGCTCTTGGGCTCTGCCTAGACCTATGTCTTAAGATTTCCCCCATGTAGTCCATATGTATGTATCTAGAGATTTGAGTCACCAGCCCAAACAGTAGTGGATCTGGGAAAGAGCTTTCTGTCTTATCTATCTTGCCTTCCTAGTGTCTTTCTAAAGTTAACATTTGGTAACTACAAAATCAGAACTTTCCTCCCACGTGGGCTTATTTGGACTTCTAGGGACTGTGTTAACTACTAGGGCTAAAAGATTATGAAGAGGGGTAATGAGTGGAGTGGAGGTGACCTTCAATGACTGACAGAGGAAGTGAGAACAGATGGCTGATGGTGATCTTCTGTATGGAAATGCACTGTCTGGAGACACTTTTGTCTTTAGACCCTGGGGAGTTTACTGGCATCTAGTGGACAGAGACCAAGGATGCTGCTAAACATCTCAATATACAGTACAACAGCCCCACCCTGAGAAGAATTCCCTAGTCCACTATGTCAGTTACTTAGGTTGAGAAATGCTCTTCTGCAGATCCTTGCACCACAGGTGCATGGGCCTTTGGTTCCTTCAGAGTAGGGCAGTAGAACAAGAGATCTAGAAATCCCAGGGATTATCAACTATTCCTGCCTCATGTCCATAGCATATGGATGGATGGGAAGTTCATGATATTGGAGAGAGAGAGTGAGAGTAAATAAGGAGATAATGGGAAAACTAGATAGGAACAAAGTCCAGGCAGTAGAAGAATACAGAGAACCTGACTCTTGAGTGTTTTCTGTCACTCTAAGAAATGCCTAAGATGATCAACTTATGAAGGGAAATTCTTTTAGCTTCCTATTTGGGGGACATTAGCCTATAGTTGGCTCTGTGCTTTAGGCAAGGCAGCACAGTATGGGATAGGGGGAAGGCTCATAGAAGAGCATGACTGTCCACCTCCTGGTTGAAAAGTGACCCCGAGAAAAAGAAAGAGACAAGGATCCTACAGACCTCATGAAGGGCACACCCCCAGTGTCCTGATAATCTCCCACTAGCCCCACCCAACCTTTATGTAAGAGGTAATAGGTCCTGAAGGTCTGGATAATAATACCATAGGCTAGAGACCAAGACTCTTAACACATGGACCGGTGGGGTGATTCCAAATCTAGACTATTGCACTGCCTCTGATGCCTTTGATCTTGGCTGTAATCACACCTGATGCTTTGAGATTGGGGGACAGCTTCTTCACAGACACTGCCAGTGGGGAATGTGGCAGATCCGGACAGCATCATCCCCCAGGGACTCACACTGTCCTCCATCCACACTCTTGTCAGTGTGTTTCAGCCATTCTTCTCCTCGAGAAGCGGAGCCTATTTTCCTAACCCATGAGCCCTGGTTTGTGACTTCCTTTGGAGGCTATGGAGGTGGTGGTGTCATGTGACTTCTGGAAACCACTCAGATGTTTTATCAATCACAGAACCTTTCTGTGCCCACAAGAGGAAGCCCAGCCTGACCCAGTCAGCTGCCCGGGCCAGCCCCATCTTCAGCTCACCCTCCATCCAGCTCAATGAGGCTGTATCAGGAAACCCCAGTGAAATCAGCTCATTCAACCAGCCTAACCACAGATGAGCAAGGAATAATAAATCAGGGCTATTTTAAGCATTAAACTTGTGGTTTGCTGACAGAAATAGACAAATGGATATTATATGTAAGTGACTTTACATAGTGAAGTGCTGGATGTTTTTTGCTTCAGAGGATGTGCGTAGAGTACGGATCAGGTGATGGTTAAGGGAAACTCAGTTGTTCTTCTGTTGTTTCTTGCAGCACTTCTCCGAACTTCTGGATGAATTTTCCCAGAATGTCTTGGGTCAGCTCCTGAATGACCCTTTCCTCTCGGAGAAGAGCGTGTCGATGGAAGTGGAGCCATCTCCTACATCCCCAGCACCTCTCATCCAAGCTGAGCACAGCTACTCCCTGTGCGAGGAGCCCCGGGCCCAGTCACCTTTCACCCACACGGCCACCAGCGACAGCTTCAATGATGGTAAAAATGCAAAGCCGGGAAACACATGGGACATGGGTCTCTTGGATTGTAACTCCTTCAGAGGGTAGAGTGTGGGCCATGTTAGCATCGGTTCCCACATTAGCTACATACCTTCTGTGTGTAAGACCTGGTAATAGGCTGTGGGAAATACTGAGACTCAGGAGGTATTTCTCCCTACTAGGCTGTGTCCCTGTAAAATTGCTGTAACTGGATGATGGTAATTACTTTCTATGATCCTGTGGCTTGGGTCACAGAGTAGACATTTTCAAATCAGCCTGTGTTCTCTTGGTAATAATTCCTATAGGTCCAGTAAGTCTATTGTTTCAAGAGATCACATCGTTTTTTGTTTTTTTGTTTTTTTCTGATAAAGGATTTTTCTTTGACTGCGGTTAATCTTAGGAGCTTCTTAGGCTGGAATGTTCCAATCCTAGAATGTTCCATGGACCTCGTTTGTCTGGGATTGTGATGAACATTCTTAGACTTCTCTTGGTTATTTAATCATGTTCATCAGCAATGTCATGAGTAAGGTATTGTTGAAGTTCTGTTTTTCTAATTTTAGATTTCTTGAAGTGTTTTGATTATTATTCTATAGGTCTTTAATTGGTATATGTTCCACCTTCCAAATTTTCCAAGGCAGATATATGCATTTCTTATTGAAGTGTTTTGTTTTCTTAGAGTGAGAGCTAGATACTTTAAGTTCTTAGAATAGGTTCTGAAGAATCTATTCTCAGTACCATATATGACTTCTTCACAGGAGAATGCCGGGCTGGGGAATCTTGCTGACTTAATTTTCTTCTGGGTTTTGAGCAGCTTTGATCGTGCCACTACTTCAGATCGAACACAGGGCCTCGCCCACTCACATGACTGGCACTATACACTTGAACCACACCTCCAGTTGCCTCCTCCTCCTTACACTGTGCATGCATGGCAGATTATTCTGTTGATGGCTTCTTCGTACAGAGCAAGTTTCTTCATGCTTGCTTTCAGTTAAAGGCCAATGCCTCTCCTTCTTGAATTAGCATAAGGAGGTGCTTCTCAGAGCTACTACAGTCCTCAAAGGAACACAATTCTCAGGCCAAGAAACTATCCTACCTTGGGATAGAGAATGTTATGGGTATTAAAACTTCTCTTGGATACATTTCTTCTTTGAGTAAGTTGCCCTAATACACAGGCCGGGAAATGGGGCCTCATGATCTCAGTGAAAGGAATGCTGAGAATCTGTTAGTGGATTCTTTCATGACTAGACCCAGATAAAGCCTTAATCTTATGTTCAGATTATTTGTTTTTCTGATGAAAATTTAAGTGCACGATACTTACTCCTTCTCTATAGATGTCAGCTTTTCTCCTAACCTCAGATCAGAATGAGATGCAGTACATGGAAGGCTCCTCAGAAGACAAAGAACTGAAATCACTAAAGGACATAGAGTTGCTTAGAGAACTCAAAGCATGTCTACATCTTAGCATTTCACCAAATCATTTTCTTCTTCCATGCCATATGTCTCTTCTCCTTTTGTCTTCTTCCTCCTGTTCTCCTTTTGCCTCCTCCTCTCCTTTCTTCCTCTGCTTCTGTTCTCCTGTTTCTTCTCCTTTTTATCTGTTTTCCCCAATCCCTCCTGCTATTTGGTCCTGCTTCTTCCTCAGGTTCCTTTCTGATACAGGAATGGCGCCACAGCCTGGTGCCCGGAATCCTCAGAATGAGGGATCCACTGTAATACCTTTTCTGACTTAGCCAGGGAAGTGATTTTGCTGGTTACATGGGACAGCACTGAGCCATTGTGGTGAGCGACTGTACAAAAAGGGGACTAGGCAAATAGCAGTCAGCAGGGATCACTGGGTGCCAACCTGGAAGCTGACTTCCACATCTCTCCTCAGTGATGTCCAGTAGGTGACCTTTGTCCATGTCTGAACTCCTTCACTTCATATTGTAACCACTCATTCACCACGAAGTTCTTGAGTTCACATGTCAGGTACTATAGCAAATCAAAGGACAAACATTTGCTCATTGCTCTCACAGAATGTATCAAGTGGGGAAGGATTAGAATTGTATAATTAGTGGTTAAAGTTATGTGCTGTACAGGCACACCTTGTTTCAGATTTTTCACACTCACTACCAGTGATTACTTAACTTTCCTAACACACAGCTTCGTTGCCAATTACCTTATGTCTTCTTTGAGGATTTGGTATGATAGTATATTTCAATGAATGAGCCCATGACCTGGCTTCTGTTACAACTGTGATTATTTGAATCCAACCTGAGGTATTCAGGAAGGCTTTGGAGAGGATTTCTCAATTTATCAACCCACATTCTACAATGAACGGTAGTGGGTGCCTAGCTCTTCAACTTATAATAGCTTGCTCTCTGTTAGTTTGTTCTTTATGTGTCGGTCAGATTTAGTAAATCTGCTTTACGTTTTAATTCTCTGGAGGCAGATATGAACTACGATCCAGGAGGAACTGCTTTCTGAGGACTGATGGATGGAAAAATCTTTTTAGATAGTGGTTAAGGTACTTTACACAGCTATCATGCTCAGATGTGATCTGAAGATGGTTCAATATTTACCTTTTCATATTACTTCCCTGTTACAGAATCCCCGATGACTTCCCGTTGTTTTTTATGATGAAGCTGAGCTCATGCCCATGGGTTGGCAGGCCTTTGGGAGCTGATCTGATCACCCTTCCCAGCCTTCGTCCTGTTACTGCTGTCCATTTGGTTCTAGCATTGGCTCTTCCACTCTACATCCTTTCTTCATACTCTTCTCTCTCCTTGGAAGTACCCATCACCCTGTCTGCATCCTCCACTCACCCCTCCCATCTAGAAGTGGCCACCTTTCATACTAGTTCCATCCTACCTTGCTGCTACTTGCAAAGGGATGATTATGATTACACTTGTATGCTTGTATTTTGGGGGCGTCTATAGGGTTATTGGTTCTCTTTTATATGTTGAGTTGACTGAGAACAAGTAGAACTCTGAGTCTGACACCTAGCCCTGTGCTTGCTGTTGAATGTGTCCACCCAACATTTATTTCATCACATCACCTGTGGAACAGAAGAAGGTATGGAAGACTGAGCGCATTCCTGTGCTGATGGGGTGATGGGGGATGCCTAGTCTGCTCTCCCTGTCCCATCTTTTCCCGTGCAGATACATGGCAGCAGTATGTAATCAAGATGGTAGCTCTTGGCTGCTAGTCAGTGTCCTGTACAGAATCAAGCACAGTGCAGACAGAAGTGGGTGTCTTAAAAATGCCTGATGGTTCATTTTTTAAATCAAATTCCATAGTTCCTCTTTTGAGTAGTAGCCTCATCAATGGCAGTCAGTCATACATATGCAGCAAAATAGAAAAGCAATAGGGAGTTTCTGGGGAGGTGAGAGTTAGAAATTTGAATGAGGATAAACCTTCTATTGAAGGTGACATTAGCAAAGATCAGCAGAAGAGGAGGGCAAGAACCACCTGTATATCTCAGGAGAAAGATTTTAGGTAGTGGGATCAGCAGGTGCAAAGGCCCTTTGAGCAGAAGTAATAAACACTAATATATTGATGCCCGGTTTGTGTTCAGATAACTCATATCTGTTCAGCAGCCTCACTGTTCTAGAGTTCACAGGTTGGAGATGGCCTAATTAGATTAGCTCAGCAGACTGACTTTTCCTTTTAATTCCACATACATATTTTGAGGCCTTCCTGTGTGAATGGCACTGTTTTAGGTACTTGCGGGACACAGTAGTGAAACTTAGATCCGGTTGATAGAAGCTAAGTTCAGTGAAAATACTTTGTATCCAGATACCCAGTCAGACAGAATGTGAGCTGTGTCCCAAGAGGAAATCAAGCCGGAAATTCCCAGGAGTGAAAGTGCACTCATTGAGGATCCCAGGAAAGGTGGATGGATGAGGCAGAATTTCATGTAGTCCTTGGAGCATGGCCTCGAGTTAGTCCCAGTGGGAACGGCTGGAGGAAAGCAGATGGAGAACAGGACCCAAACATTCAGGGTTCCTTCCTTTTCTGTCACTAGTTGTTTTTTTGTTTTGTTTTGTTTTGGTCATTGTTGTTGTTTTGTGCTAGTCCTATGGCACGACCTCCAGACATGGGCTTCTTTGCTCAAAGTTAGCACTCTACCACTGAGCTATACCCCTACTTCCAGCTATTTGGGTGGTTCACTGGAGACAAGAGTCTCATGGATTTTCTTGCCTGGGGTGGCTTTGAACCGCTAGCCTCAAGATCTCAGTCTCCAGACTAGCTAGGATTGTACGTGTGAGCTACCAGCACCTGGCCTGTTACTAGTTTTTAATTTTTGTTTTAGCCAGTGTAAATGAACAGATCGGAGTCATGGATAGATGTCTATGGCAGGTAGGGCGAGGGGAAATAGTAGTACTTCTTTTACAGGAAGCTTTTCTTATCGTGAGGGCAAAGCACATACTGTTCAGTTCCCCAGCTTGCACCTTGTTCTGTTTTTGATTGTGTGTCTCTAACAGGCTGACCTGGTCATTTTCTGGGAAGATGCAGACTGGGTTAGGTAGAGCTCACAAAGGGTTTCTGGTCCATAGTCCATCTTTGTGAATGTCCTGATATTTTCTCTGAGCAAAAACTACTTTCCTAGGCCGGCAAAGGCATTTTTATAAGTAGGGGATAACCAATAGGGAAGGGAAACTGTTTGAGATATATGATATCGAAGTGGAGGGTGAACTGAGCGCTAGTGGCTCATTCCTGATTCCTAGCTTCTCAGGCTAAGATCTGAGGATCCAGGTATGAAGCCAGTCCATGCAGATAAATCTGAGAGACTCTTAAATCAACCAGCAAAAAGTTAGAACTGGAGGTGGAACTCAAGTGGTAGAGCACCAGACTTGAGTTAAAAGGCTCAGGAAGAGTGTGAGGCCCTGAGTTCAAGCCCCAGTACTCTCAAAAGAACCAGCACAAAAAGTTAAGGTGAATGAACAAAGGAGCAACTTGCCCAGCAAAGCATCATCTAGGTTCTGGCTTCAATTGTGTTTCTGACTTTTGATAATAGGC